ATATGCCACGTGGGGATGGGGTGAACAAACAAAACTTAATTCATTGCTTACCTATCTATCCAAATGCTTGCGCGTTCATCAGTGTCATATTTCATGGAATATACCATGTGGGGGCCAAAAACTCACATGACACATAAATCAAACATGAGCACATAAAAAAGAATGAAAACCCAGTCGAAATCTTGCTTCCGCCTCCAAAAACCCAATGGAACATGAGTCGAAATTTCCACTGTCGTGAGCCAAAAGATCCACTTCCTCCTAGCACCACACCTGCTCTTGACTACTAGCCGTACTGATCATTTGATTACCCGTAAGTGAACGGGATCGTGAACAAGTAATAAAGTAGTGTGTAGAGTGTCGAACTCACGAGGACTATGTGTTTGATCGAGTTAAAGCTAGTAATTCTCTTAATCGAATAGCAAGATCGAGTTATAACTAACACTATTAAATCTATCAACTAAATAGAAAGCAAGTAAAAGTTTATCAAATTTGCGAGAAGTATTACTAAGATGTGGAATCCCCTTTGCTACTCCATTTTTAGTTCGACAATTTAAATTGATAATTTGAAATCATGATTGTTGGTCAATGTTCCTATTTTAATTGAAAGCATCTCTCGATAGTTATCAAATATATTATCCTCATGCGACATTCCTATCCCTCGATGAAAGATGCAAACATAAAAAATGTATTAAACGAGCTATAACATCTTATAAAAATCATATGAAGTATAGAGGTATATCTCTATCCTCTATCGAACCTCACAATAATTATTATTTTGTGCTAATGATTCTATTGTCTCCCTCGATAACAACAAAATTCACAAACAATTCAACTAGTGGCCAATTAATTAAAAAGCATAAAAACGATAATAAAAATCCAAACAATTAAATAAATTAACGTCAATTAAATTTTTCAAATTAAAAATTCATAACAAGGGTTCATCACATCCTAGCAAATATGAAAAATTAGCCTAACATATTTAAATTACAAGAAATCATATATAAGTGGAAAGACATGATCCGAATTTTTGATAAATTGAGAAGATGAAGACAAATCTTGAAATCTTGAATCTCTTCAATGGTTTCTTAATAAATCTCCACTTGCGTTCTCTCTTCTTTGTACAATACCAAGTTTGAATCTTTACTTGATTGAATTCTTGCAAGTCCCCTTCAATTCTCTCACAAAAATAATTAATTATCCTCCTTTGATGATGATAATTGATGAATATTGGAGTATATTATGTATAAGAGAAAAGTACGAGAGCCCCCTTTGTGTATTCTCCTGTTGGGTATCTGTAGTGGTCGAAAATTAGTGAAAAATCATGTTCAAATTGGTTTCTAAAAGAGTTCCAATCGAATAAGGAAAGTTACACTCGCGCGCGCAAATTTTTTGTCTCTGCACAGTAGTCAATATTTTGATCATAACTTTGTCTCCCGATATTCGATTGAGCTGATTCAAAATGCATTGAAAAGCTAACTAAAAGGGCTACAATTTTTTTAGAAATAGATATTTTCCAATTCGGATGTTACCATGCCAAAAATTGGTCGTAATCCTTGACTAAAAATCTGGAAAATATATCATGTGATTGGAAGTCGATTTATGGTAACATTCTGATGATATACCATTCCTTTTTGACTTCTAATTGGATCCAAATGACTCCCATCAATCTTTAAAATACCTCTTAGGGTCCAATTCAACTATTGGATATTTGCAATTTGGTCATCAACTTTGTACTTCGCCATTTTTCGCCGTTTTTCACTTCTTTCTTTCGGTTTAACTTCTAACGATCGAGTTTTATCTAATAAATGAAATATACAACAAATTAGGCTATAGTTGCTTTAAAGAACTATTAAATGTCTATATTTTTTGGTCTACATAAGTGTATAAAATACATTTATCACGTACCATCATTACCATCCTTTGCCGTCATCGAAGAATCACAAGAACATCCCAAATTTCCACTACACCCAACTCCGCATCTGCATCTGTGTCTTCAAATCCCAATGATAGGAAGCATTTTAGAACAAGCTTCACACAATATCAAATTTTCCCTCAAATCCCTTAAGAAACCTTAAAAATTGCCCCCAAATCTGCTGCACCGATTAATGGGCACATAATGGACTAGGCTCTGCTGTGTTGATTAATGTCGAACATATATTCAGGATTCGGAAAATGGAGGGAGAAGATGAAGGTCCGGGAAAGTGACGAGTGACTTTTTGCACTTTTGGCCTAATTTCACGTGTGATATGCCACGTGTAATTTCTGTCCGTCACGTTGCACATTCCATTATTTTAGGGTGATGGATGATGAATGAGTAAGTAATTGGATGAATGAGTGAGCAATCGATTATGTTTTATCGCTCGATAAGCAATTAGTAATGTAAACTAAAGTTGGATGAGTATTAATTAAATCTACTCTTTAAATCACTAAAAAAAATGAGAGAATTTTGTAAACTTTATTAAATTCAAATTTTAGTAATCATGAGCTGTGAACAATATGAAATTAGTAAATAATAAATTAATAATACTTGTAAATCTTATAAAATATATTGATAATAAGTAATTTTACCATGGTTGAATTATAATAACCTCCCAAACATGACCTAGGTAATTGTCGACCACCAAAATCTGATTACAAATTCTTGCCACTTCCATGTCAACTTAGTATACATGTACATCGAGTCATCATTGTTAAGCAAAGGCAAATTCTGACAATCGTATGCACTACAATCACGTCAATTATCAAAAAGATATAAAAATCTATCGGGATTTAAAAGAATTGTATACATTTTTCTTTCATCCTGCATGGAAGTTTTTGTGGATAAATAAAGTGCAAGGTATTTTTGACCTTTCGACTTTTTTGACACGTGTATATTCTTTACATCTTGACTCATTTTTCATAACGGCTTTTGAACACGTGTCAATGGGTTCTTGTCACGTGGCATTTAGGAATCTTCAAATCTAAATAAGGAAAAATTATGCAGCGGGAAATACAAAATCACAAGATTTTCACCTTATTGGTAATATTTTGCGACCCTTTGTTGTAACTGCAATTCTTTGTGTGCAAAAGCATGAGAATATGATTTTCTTCAAGTTAAATAGGTTCTCTTGTTCGCCCCTTAAAGTTCATACGGTTCAGACACATCTTCTTCTATCTAATAAGGAGGTTTGCAATCGCCTCTTAAGAATGATTTGTAACAATGATTCCTCAAATCCAAACCTAATAGTCACATGATTCAGTGATTTTCGTCTCTAAAAGAAATTAGAGAAGTTTGTAAAAGATTTTAAATAATTGTTGACCACCAAAATTTGATTGATTATGCTATAAATATTTTATCATCTTGCTATCCATCTATAAATGACCTAGATACTAAATACCATGGTATGCAAAGGCCTCCATTCCGGTGAAAGTTGAGCCTGTATTTTACTTTTCTTACTTTTTGGATACGTGCTAATTGTCGATGTTACAAATTGATCCAATTTGATTCTATTTTCTTTTTAATAGTTTTTATACATGCGACAATGGAGTCCTTGCCATGTAGCATTTAGGAATCTTCGAATGTCCAATGTCCCTCCAAATAAGGTATCAGGAAAGAATACAGAGACACAAGATTCTTGCTTTATTTGAGAAAATCCCACCCTTTGTTGTAACCGCCATTCATGGTGCTATTGTGGATATATGAGGATTTTCTTCAAGTTAAACATGTTCCGAACCCATTCTCTTTTACCTAGTCAGGAGGTTCATTGGAGTGCGAACCACCTTAGTGTTTCGTGGATAATACATGGACAAGGCGCGGATTCTGACAATGTTACTTAACTCAAGGTGAAGCTCTCATTTGCGTCAGTGTAGCTTGTTGATTTTGGCAAAGCAATATGGTTGGTGCAAAGCTCTAGTGTGGCAGATGCATTCCACGTGGCACCACAATTCAATGTGGTCCGTCCAAAAAGAACCCGTGTTGTGAATTAGTAACAATTGTTCCCTCAATTCGAGCATAATTTTGCTGTGTGGTTTGTTGGATGATGCATTTGGCGGGGAATTGCATTGTGCGAACCTAAGTTACTTGTGAATCATTGATGATGTTTTCTAATTCAAATGACGAAATAGTAATAATAATATATCTTGACGTATAATTATTTTTTATTTCAATTTCGTAATACCATGAAAATGAAAACAATAACAAATCAAACCTTATAGTGACAGTTATTGAAGATCATATATTCCGGTATAACATGACGAAATGAGAAACACAACAGACTAAAAATTATCAACGTGGAAAGATGAACATGATCATCATTGTAAAACATCAATAGATGATCTACCTTGAAGTGATAGATCTTTTAGACAATGGTTGAATTTATAGTCATCTTTTCTTTTCTTTTTTTGGGCAATTTCTATCTGTTCGAATGATACTATACGTGTTTATAAAAGAGAAAACGTGACACAATATATCAAAAAAGTTAATTTCGAATTTATAGTCATCTTTTCTTTTCTTTTTTTTGGGTAATTTCTATCTGTTCGAATAATACTATACGTGTTTATAAAAGAGAAAACATGACACAATATATCAAAAAAGTTAATTTCGAGTTAAAGTTCTATGATGATACGAATTGATTGTCTACATTGTGTAAAATATCAACTCTCTTTTTATAGAAGTTCAAATAGACTCACTCGTACTTTATTATGCATGGTATTTTACAATTGCATTATTTCTTGTGATGAGTCAATGACAACATTAATCTCCAGTAATATGGTAATTGCAATCCACGAGTCAATTAATAATCTGCAATTTTATTTGATTGTCATCTGCTCTTAAATTCTCAAAACGCAAATGATTTAAAAAAAAATTAATAGCTAATTTGATAATGTGAACTGTCTGACAAAATAAATCCAAATCTTAATTAGTACCCACTATTCCCTAAAATATTGATTTTCTCTTTGAAATCAAGCAGGAAAAATTAGTACATTGAGTTGTGTCAATAATGAGAATTATTAATATTTGGTAGCCTCCAAATGAAAATACCTAAAGTCCAATAAAGTGACTTTTCAGTCCCTGGGGTCCAACATATACAAAGGGAAACCAAGAAACGCAACGCTCCTAACGCCAACCTCATCTCCTTGTTCTTCTCGCTTCATCTAAAAAATCTTCTCTGTTCAATCTTTTCACCCCTAAATCGATGGCCCTTCAACTGTGGGATACCTTCAAAGAATCAATCACAGAATACACGGGTCTCTCTCCAGCTACTTTCTTTACAGTTCTTGCTCTGGGCCTTGCTGTGTACTATACGCTGTCCACTTTATTTGGTTCGTCTGATGATGGCCATCCCAGGTCAAGAGGTGTCGAAGAGCAGATGGAGCCACTTCCACCTCCCGTTCAGCTTGGTGAAATTACTGATGAAGTGTTGAAACAGTATGATGGGTCTGATCCGAAAAAGCCTTTGCTCATGGCTATCAAGGGTCAGATCTACGATGTTTCGCAGAGCAGGTATACTTTCTTAATCTTTGTGAATTTTTTTCTGTTCTGATTTCTGGGTTGGCGCCCTTCTGAATTTTGAGTGGGCGTATGTGATGGATTCTGGTGTTTGGGCTTTTTTGGTTTAATGCCTAAGTTCAAAAATTTTGATAGTCGATTTTGGTGATATGAACTGCTGTGTAGAATTTGCTAGTTTTTTGTCTTAATTTTCGTGATTTGTGAGAGCTCGGGCAATTTAAGGGGACATGATTGATGGAGATTTCTGGTTTTCAGATACTGGCCTTTTCCGTCCCTGATCACTGAATCTGGCTTTCATTTTTGCTTTATTCCATTTATCTTATTTTTTACTTTTTTATGCTTTCTTATTCTTGGATTTAGTAATTTACTTCGAATTTGGAGATTTGTGTGCATAAAGTTTTCAAATTCACTATGTGATATTTGTTTTTCTGTTTCCAGAGATGCAGATTACCTGGTTTTTTCTGTAAGGTCTAACAAGTTCTCAGTTTGCCAATATGGATGAAATTCACTACTTATAATAAATATCCAGAACTTCCTAATTTTTGCCAGCTTCCGCGGACGAATTGGAGCTTAAACTATGCGATGATTATACTGGATATGTCTTTTTTTTTTTTCCTTATTTTTTTCTTTTTTTTTTTTCATTTAAAATACAGACTTATAACAGCCAAATAATGTATTTAGATACTATACAAACTCTACTGGTAGCACAGCACGATAGTGCTCTTCTTTTTAATGAAGTTATTCTTGTATAACCAATTCCTCGCAGAGTAATTCCATTAAAGCAATTATGCTGTTGTCTTTGAACGATGAAATAGGCTGTGTTTTGGGGAGACTGGTAGCTGAACCCAGAAACGTTCTTTTCTCCCCCTTTTTGCCTCTCCTCCTTGCCCACAACTTATGTGATTCACACATTGACGGAGGAGCTAATTCAAAACTGGAAATGAGTATTCAACAATCCACGACCCACACCTTGTGTGATATGAACTTGAGACATCTCATTTCTTCACCACTAGACCAAGGCTTCCTTCCCAACTAAGAAATTAGTTAATTGCCTTTCAATATAATCTCCCTTTTTACTTTTTTTTTATCTTATGATAACAAGCTAGTTGTTCGAACTTTTGTTTGAGACCTGAATATTTATTCTGTGTATTTGTTTTGATAAGATGATGTGGGAAAATAACTTGTATGAAATAAGCCTCTGCCTGATGTGGCAACCTTATCTGTTGCGGACTTGTCTTATGTGGCACTTATGGAAGTAGCTGTTCAATGATCATTGGCATCATATTGTAATTTATTGTTTTCCTTCCAAGATTCTTGTAATTTTTTTTTTAACCACCACATCACATTGTACCATTGATTTATGATTAACTATCCTTTGCAATTCCGGCTTGAATACCCCAAAGATGACATGGGTTTTTCGGCAAGTTAGTAGTCTTGGGTTAAGTGTAGAACCTTCTAAAAGCAAGTTTTATTTTCTATATAACAGATTTATGTGACATTTGCTAAAAATACACTTGTCTGTTGTCTGCAGGATGTTCTATGGGCCGGGTGGACCTTATGCCTTGTTTGCTGGAAAGGATGCGAGCCGAGCTCTTGCAAAAATGTCTTTTGAAGATAAAGATCTTAATGGTGATCTCACTGGCCTCGGTCCATTTGAGCTTGAAGCCTTACAAGATTGGGAATACAAGTTTATGAGCAAATATGTCAAGGTTGGAACTGTCAAAAGTTCCGTGCCCGTGAGCGATGGAGTGACTGAAGGTCAAACAGCAAAGGCAACTGAAGCCGATGCTGCTAAGCCTGCAGAAGATGGTCCATCAGCAAGTGTTGAGAAGGAAGCTGTGGAAACTGCTGCGCCTGCTGATGATGCTGACAAGAAAGATTGAGTTCTCATAGAATACCAAACTGGGGAGAAAGGTGTGCCATTTTTCATGGAAATAAAAATAGATTATAATGTTTGGCTGCTTCTTTATTCTGTTTCATACAGGTGTTTAACTTTAGTGAAGGACTGTGGTACTCCTTATGTAATGAACTCGATATAATATCCTGTTTTTCGTATTACATAATGACCGAGGCTTAATAAATGTGTATTTGCATTGATTGTTTGCATATTATGCCCGTAATTCCAACAACTTCACCTTCTCCACATGGGATGTGGATTGATGGATGAGTTTATGGCCATGTTTTCAGAATTAAAACGACTCGTTTAAGTTCAATATAGTTTGATGAATCTCTTGAATTCATTGCTGGTTATTAGAGTTACTGAATTTTAAGTTCCATTTGGATCCTAAATTCCTAATAAAGGGAAAATCAGAATTGAGGGGTGCAAAGAAATTGTATTTCCTTTTGTTCTTTTCTAAGTCCGAGGAGGGGAAAGAAATAAGTAAATTAGGATGAATCAGATAATTTAGTTATACGTAAAAAGGGCCTTCCGAAACCACCCTCACCCCCCACTCCCAAAAAAAAAAAAAATGAAAATTAAGTGGTAAGAAAGCTGAGCTTTATTATGACAGTTGAAAAGGTGCTGTATTCAAAGATTCGCCTCAGAAAGCCCCCACGCGCGGAGCAAAAGATTTCTCCGCCCTGCTACTCCAGCAGGGTTGGGACAGATTTAAAAATAGGGGCTGAGGTTCAAAAAATTCCAATCAAGAGTTGAGGTGTATCTAGCTCAACCCCTAATTTTTTTTAAAAAAAAATAAAAAATTCAAAGCAAGAACTGATGTGCATTTATTTCAGCCCCTATTTTTAATCCCTAAGTAACATAAATCAAGATTTCTTGGCTTGTACCAAACAGCACTTAGTAAGCACTGCCATTATTTCGCAAAAATAAAGTTTTGAATAGTGAATACTTCGGAGGAAATCCAACCAATGGTCACTGAACTTTGTAGAAAATTTCTTAGGAGGTCACCGAATTTCAATACGTTACTGAATGATCATTGAACTTTTTCGAAGTCCCCCAAGAGGTCACCGAACTTTAAAACGTCTTTGAATGATCACTGAACTTTGCAAAAAGTCTCTGGGAGGTCACTAAACTAATTATGTATGGGGTCCTAATTTGCAACGTTGAGTGACTTCTCTGGGGGATTTCAGCAAAGTTCAATGACTATTCAGGGACGTTTTGAAGTTCAGTGACCTCTTGGAGGATTTCGGCAAAGTTCAGTGACTATTTAGGGACGTATTGAAGTTCGGTGACTTTCTAGAGAATTTTCTGCAAAGTTCAGTAATCATTGGGTGGATTTTCTCGAATACTTCGAGAATGTGTAATTAAAATGTATGGAAAAATTTTCAATTTACGTACAAAATATTTTATTGTGTTAATATGCATTGAAATTGAGTACGTAGAATAAAGACTTTTAAAATAATAGTTGTAAAATAGGTGCTAAATGGAACCCATTTTACAGATGAGATTCATGACTACTTTAGAATGCGCGGTTGAAAAGTTGTGTATTCAATGAAATGTGTAATTAAAATTAATTTTTCATTTTGACTTAAATTTTAATCGAACTTTTTAGCTGAACCGAACATTGGCTTTGTTGACCCCAAAAAGTGCGCCAACAGATGTCGGTCCCACCCGCGCTTGAGTGGACGAATGTCCAACACGCTAAGACACGTGGACGGTCTAAAACGAGTGGTTCAAAGGGCGTGGGAGTAGCCCAACGACGCGGGACGGTGACGTTCGGAATCCGGCGGGTTGTTCGTAATCCGATTGTACAATAATTACCGACCGGTGTTCATAAATATATATATATATATATATATATGTAAATGTGTATAAACTCGATTTGTGTATTGCAAGTAAACTGAGAGGGAGTTGAGAAGATGTAGTTCTTTGTATTGATTCTTGCATTAGCCTTTTGATGTTACACAAGGGAAGTATTTATAGTAGTACATATGAAATGGGAGCCCTTGGATGAAGTGGCACGTGGCCTCATCTCTTTAGTTCAAACATCTTTTCCTAGGTATGAAGCTTGACTTGCTAGCTTACGGCGCATTTATTGCTTGTGCAGGGCCTCCATGCTAGTGACAAGACTTGACCTTTAAGCTTATGACAAACGTTTCATCAATCATTCGAATAAGATCTGTGCAGGCGATCTCTTGGGAGAAGTGACGATGGAGGATGTTTCCCTGTGGCTCAGAGGCTCGCGCATCAATTTTGAGGCTTCGGCCATTTGTCATGATACTTCCACTTGAGGGCCTCAGCTGCTCTCAACCGTTTCCAGCAGCCTGGCTTCGATTCGTAGGCCTCGGTCAATGGGTTTTGGGCAAAAAAGAGCCTCGACAGATGGACTTCGGCGAGAGCAGTTCGGACGTAGCCACCTCGGCAGGAGTGCCACGTGGATCGCCATGAGTGGGCCATTTGTTCCAGGAAGGTTGGCCAGGTGTGACAACACGCAACAATAGTCCCCCAAGTCCAAGTATATTCATTTATGTAATGCGTGGACTTTAATGGAGTAAAAATTGAAGGAATTTTTGAACTCCAAATAATAGTCCCCCAAGTCCAACTATAGATATTTATATCATGGTTGGAGTTAGGGAAGTGTTGCTGTGGGTGAGCGATGAAGTAGGCGAGGTGTTGAACTTTTGAAGATGAAGCCGAAGTGGTTGAGGAGCCGAACTTGCGAGGCTTGTTGCTGAATGTTGAGGTAGGAGCCGAGGTGATTGAGGAATCGAACCTGCGAGGCTTGTTGCTGAGTGTTGAGGAGGGAACCGAGGTGGTTGAGGAACCAAACCTGCGAGGCTTGTTGCTGAATGTTGAGGAAGGAGCCGAGGTGGTTGAGGAACCGAACCTGCGAGGCTTGTTGCTGAATGTTGAGGTAAGAGCCGAGGTCCAATGGTAATGATTGTGCCTTGATTGCCGAGCCAATGATTTGATGTCTTGTGCTTGTTTTCGAGGAAAAGTAGCTGAACCGTTACGACTTCCAAGGCGCCGGCTGCCGTCATATTAAAAACGCAATTATAAGGGCAGGTGGCGCTTCTAGAAGTAGACGCGTTGGAAGAGGTGCGTGGGTGGGACGCATGAATCTGAGGCGTAGGATTGAAAAACCCTTTAAATTCAACGCCTCGGATTGGATTTGAAATTGAGGGCTCAGATTGAGTGAGATTCGATCTAACGGGCGGGGTTCGTCCTGGACCCCTATAAAAGGTGAGGAAATCCCATTTTTCAGGATTTTCGAACACTTGCACTCTGATATTTTCTTAAATCTTCAAATTTTTCCGGCGTCGAGGTTGACTGTAATTTCAAGTTTCGGCCAATCTCCATTTGTGTCAAATTCCCTTAGGTATTTTTTGCAGAAAATACCATTTTACTGTCTTTTTAATGAAAAAATGGAGTCCACTTCGGGTAGGGAGCTAGTGACAGTGGCGTCTTTAGACTATGGGGTCGGTCAGATGGGAGAGTCCGAGGTGGATAGGTATGCCATGACCGAGGACCCTGTAGATTATACCCAGGAGTGGGGGGCGTCTAGGGTACCTTCGAACATGACGTGGAAGAGGTTGGGGGAACTTAGGGAGAGGTATAATGTACCCCACAATGTAGAAATGTTAGTCCCCGAGCCGAACGAGCAGGCCTACTATCCGAGGCCCGGCTGCGTGGCCATCAGTGAATACCTGTTCAAGGCAGGTATGTGTCTACCTCTGCACCCCTTCTTCAGGGCGGTGCTTAGGAACTTTATGTTGTCGTCGACCCAGGTTCTGCCGAATGGGTGGAGCCAGCTGGTCGGCTCGTACTTCCTGTGGAAGGAAGTGTCACTTGGGGAGGACATGCCTCTCCATATATTTATGACCCTGTTCCAGCATCGGGTGATTGGGAAGGAGTCTAAGGGGTGGTACTACCTCACGCCTTGGGGGGCTCACGCACCTTTTGTGGTGGGACTTTCTTCATCTATCAAGGGGTGGAAGGAGTCTTGGTTCTGGGTGCGAGGTAAGTGGCAAGCAGTAGAGGGGGACAAAGCCCTTACTTGCACTGTGCCGACCCAGTACTACGAAGCTCGTGAGTCTCCCAGACCCTACTTGTTTTCTGAAGCCAAGGTTTGAATTTGTCTAACTGTTGGGACTTCCTTTGCAGATAGTAGTACGAGGTTCGAGCTCAGCCGCGAGGAGTTCGAGGTAATAGAGGACATCTACAGGAGGCCTCTGAAGCTTCGCCACTTCGACCACTTGATTGACAGGAGTCGTTATTTTCTGGACTTTGAGCTGATGGCATCCAGAGGTACGAAGCTCCCACAGTTACAATTTTCTTGTCCTTTTGTTCTGATACTGATGTTGACCTAATGTATTGTGCAAATAAATTCAAGAAGAGGGAGTACCGAGCTCCAGATATGGCTTCCATTCTGAAGGCCACTTCTACTGTGAAGGCGAGGCCTCTGAAGCCGGGCTCCAGTGGGGCGAAGGAAGTTCGAGGCAGGGTTGAACGTCTGTCCAAAGACTGTACTCCGCGGGCCTTGGAGGAGGCAACACCTCAGAGGCAGGAGAAGCCAAAGGAGCCTCGGGGAAAGGAGAAGGTCCCTGAGGAGCCAAAAAGGAGGAAGCTGGTGCATATCTCCAGCTCGGCTGGGAAGTTCGGGACCTCTGTGTCCCATGAGGCAAAGCAAACTGGCGAGCCGAAGTTGCTTGCAGCCGCCTCGAAGGCCATCAAAATTGAGATCGTTAGACAGGCAGAGGCCGAGGAGGCTAGAGCAGAGGCAGCTAGGCGCGCTTCGGAGGCTGTCGAGGAGGAGGCTGTGAAGCAAAAGCCGGTCCGTGAGAAGGGGAAGTCTCCGAGCTTCTTAGCTGGGAGGGAGGAGGCGCTGGCTCCGGCCTTGGTGGAGGCTCTCCCTGAAGAGATCTTATTAGTGAGCCAAAGCGTAGCCTCATCTCTTTAGTTCAAACATCTTTTCCGGGAGAGCCTCCACCATCTTGCATTAGCCTTTTGATGTTACACAAGGGAAGTATTTATAGTAGTACATATGAAATGGGAGCCCTTGGATGAAGTGGCACGTGGCCTCATCTCTTTAGTTCAAACATCTTTTCCTAGGTATGGGGCTTGACTTGCTAGCTTACGGCGCATTTATTGCTTGTGCAGGGCCTCCATGCTAGTGACAAGACTTGACCTTTAAGCTTAT